AGGGATCACCTCCAATCCCTGAAAAAAAATATAAAAAATAAAAAAAATACTAATTCAAGATAATGATATCACATTTACTACAAAAGTTTCAAAGTGGATTTTAGCATGAAGGTTATTCCCAAAGGCTTATAAGAGGGGCAGCTCTGAAGGCTCTTCCCAAATCAGAGTGTGCCAAATTCCTGCTCCAGATATCCGTCCTGCAATTTACAGAAAGCTTTGATATCTGAATAATCACCTTTCAAAACATAAGTAAAATATTATGCCGTGTACAGGGGGTCTGTATAAAACACAGCAGGACCAAGACCTCAGTTGTAGAATTTTTCTGTAAGAAAACTGAATTTACTTAACATACCCAACTAAATGCCTAAGAATACCTAATCCCTTTATAATATTAAACCTCTTGGGAAAATTTGTTTCCAAATTTACATCGTATTTGCTGGCAGTTCTCCGTTCAAAGCTCCTTTTTAGGCTTTTATTAATCTGATGTGGAAATGACAATAGAGAAGGGTTATACTCTTCACAGCACACAGGGATCTCACTTCTCAACATAACTGCCATTCAGCAATTTCTTGCAAAAAGAAATTACTTTGGATTTCTTCTTGTAAACAAAAAGCAGATGAGTCCAGGTGCAACAGGCTGTTTCTGAGGAAACCTACCAATGCACAAAGACTGCCCCAATCCAACTTGTGTTGTCTGATGAACAGCTTCGTATGTCAGGGTTCCAGATCTTGACACAATACCTTTAGGAAATAAAAGGAGATAAACTTAACACTACCACAGTAACTAAGTGCATAACTAGAGGCAGCTGGTCTTATATTCACAAAAACCACCTTAATACACTGAACGTGAGATGGCAGGTTTTCCAGCTATCCTTGCCAAAACATGAAAACTCTCTCTGAGATTCTATCTGTACTATTTCTTGGATGGCATTTTTGACACTTAATTGTCAATGGACTAAACCCTCCCAGAAAGTCACTAATATTGGCTAAGATTATGTCCCTCATGCTACAGCTTTATCAGGAGAGAAAAATAAAAACAAAATAGAAGAATATACTTTTTGTCTTGTATGCAAGTAGCTAATGCACTAAGTCGAAACAGAGTTGCAGCTCAACAGCTAACAGAAGAATTCCATATTAATCCCATCTCCAGGCACACAAGAGATCCTTCAGAAGAGAAGTATGCTGCACAAATGCAATTTATCACTATTAAGGTATTTGTTGCTGCATCTCACTGCTCTACAATACACATTCAGCTTCTACATTACAGTATTACAAGAGATCACGGTAGAATGTAATACAGAATCCAGAGAAGGGGCAAAATATTTGCATGGTTTTTTGTTCATTTTTCCAAGTCAAGTTTTCTGTTGATACTACAAGAGGGAAGGTTTCCAGGAAAAAAAAAACATCATCTTCCATCTACTTCAAGCCAAGAGATCACAACCCTAGTTTTAAATTCAGGGTAGAATGTAATACAGAACCCAGAGAAGGGGCAAAATATTTGCATGGTTTTTTGTTCATTTTTCCAAGTCAAGTTTTCTGTTGATACTACAAGAGGGAAGGTTTCCAGGAAAAAAAAAACATCATCTTCCATCTACTTCAAGCCACCTAACAAAGAATATAAGTATATTGCATGAACAAAGGGAAAAAATACACCAGACTAACAACTTTAGTTTCATCAGCTCTTTATACCGTTGGACAGTGCGGATGTCTACCAGTAAAGGTTTCTTCTTGCTGTTTGCAAAGGGCTTCCTGTTTACTATTAAGATCAGATTGCCTCTCAGAAGCTACAGATAAAGGTCCAAAGACTGTGGCTATTTTTATGGCTTGCATGCCAAGATTATCAAATGATTCTTGGATGCCTCACAGTAATGGAAAGCTGGGGAGCATATCACCAAAGGTCAGGGTGTTAGACGAAGCTGGGAGGATGGCAAAGTTACATTTTTATTCCCTGATCCTTTGATCATAACTGAAAACATTTCCAGAAATGGTGGGGCAACTGGATTCAGGATTTAAAATATTCTTTTGAATTTGGTGTGCCTTGCATTCAGATTCTAACACCTTGTGACTACAAGCTGTTTCCTGTAGATATTTAGAAAGCCTTAACAGAATTATTTTTTTTTTTTTCCACTATGAGGGTGGTGAGACACTGGAACAGGTTGCCCAGAGAAGTTGTGGATGTCCCATCCCTGGAGGTGTTCAAGACCAGGCTGGATGAGGCTTTGAGCAACCTGGGCTAGTGGAGGGTGTCCCTGCCCATGGCAGGGCAGTTGGAACTTTATGATCTTGAAGGTCCTTTCCAACCGAAACCATTCTATGACTCTATGAACTTTGATTCAGAAGGGAGCTCAGGGCAACGTCAGTTGATGCTGTGTTTTACAGTCACAGAGTAACGTCTTGATGGTATCTACAAAGGGCATAACTGCAGTCATCTGGAATTTCAGTTCAGGTTTATAGGTACTTCTGAAAGATGGAGGTGTGACACAAGTGTTAACACATCCTCCAGCATTCACTAGGTACAGCTTATTCTCAAGTTAGCCAGAAGCGGTTAAGTAGCAGAAAGAGTTTCTTGTGTTAGAAAAACTGCACCGAGTCCACACAGTTCAAGAGCACTGAATAGACTGTCCCACAGTAAACACACTTTTCATCAAAGAAACGGTAACATTGCAAAAGGTACTATGCTCAAGTTAAACTGGTTACCCCGTCGACAGGTAACAGCAGCATACGCTGTCTACAATGTTTCTGAAGCTCTATTTAAGTACAAAGTCATATTTTGGAAAAAAAAAAAATATAGCTCCTGAATGGCATTATTTTAAAAATAATTAAGTTGTTACTTCTATAGTTTAGAACAAGGAACCAACAGAAGCCAGGACAAGAGACTTGCATGCAACAGGGTGTGTAACAAACATATGATTATGAACAAGTGAATACCTTTCTGACCTTAACTCTGCTGTCTGAGAAGTGAGTTGTCTAAATTATCACGTTATAAACTTGCCTGTAACCTCTTCTCTTTGCTATAATACTGAGCTCAACACACATCTAGGATCCTAGTCCTCAGGAGCCAAGCTGTTGGAAGGAATAGTGTTGGAACGCTTAGTGCTCTCAAATCCCAAGATAAATGGAGGTACCCTCAAAGGAGAGCGTTAAAGAAACAAAGTCAATCACACTACCTAAGGAAACTTCCAGTTGCTTCACCTCTACCATCAGTATTCAGTGCCTGCTAGGGTAGACCACCTGATTTTGGCCTTTAGGACTGATAATGCCAAAGTTCACTTACAAACTGAAGGACAGACAAGCTGTTACACGGTGTGTCAACTGTCTTCAGGACAGAATGTGACTAGCCTCATGAATAAGAACACTAGAGTACCAAACTTTAGTTTTAGATGATGCATAAATATTCAAAAACTCACCAATTCTTCCCTTCTTGTGAATGTGACCAGGCATGATACCAATTTTACATTCTCCAGGCTAAGGAAAGAGGGGAAGAAGTCAG